TAGGCGGCTTTCCGCAATAAAAGAAAAATAAACAGTTGAGATTTAGAACACAAAAGAGTAACGTCCCCTTTTATTAAGGTTGTCGTTAGTAGGGGCCTTCGGATATTAAGGACCTATTAACCTTTATTAGGGTGTTGGGTTAACCCCTTTACTCTTTGAGTTAACCGTCTTCCTCTGACGCTAAGCTACGGCAGCCCCGCTGCAGGTACGGAATAACTTATTTTTGCTTCATCCTTCTTGCAATACTTTGGAAAATGTGTGAAAGACTTCCGCAATATTTTATACCATACACAATGTAAATATAAACAATAGTCGGACTAATTTATTTATTGTAATAATTGGTCAAAAGACCATATTATTGAACGGCCATGTATTGCAATATAAATTACGGAATATGGAAGCAAAAAGTAATAGCATATTTTATTTTCCAGCCTGTGTTAAGGGTATATATAATACATCGTGAAGAGTTCCCGGAGAATGAAGAAAACTAACTACGCTAGTCGAATTCCTTAGTCTATTCTCGTTTGGTTTCAACAGCTCAGCCTTCAGTACAGGAAGACTACAAATTGTACTCATGTAAATCGTAAGATGCAAAGTGATCTCAAGAGTAGCGAAAAGTATCTAGGTTTTTGGGTGGTGTACTCCATGAAGCTATAATCACACGCGATTGTGTTCAAAACCGTCAGAATCTTTTCTTACGGTCAAATGACTTGCCATCATTGGACAACATTGAAGCCGATGACCATGGTGCTGTGCTGGTCGAACACAGCACTGCTGGATTACATGTATGTCTCCAGCGCAGTCCTCTCTACAAATGCAATAGCACTGTTGCTGTTGCCACCTCACCTAATGAACCCGCTAGATTGAATGCAGAACGATTCGCCCACCAATCCATAGTACACTTGGTGTTAGCAATATGTCAAACTCGAAAGCTACTGGATCGTATTTGCATAGGATCATGCTATCAACGCATAGAAGCCCACGACGCTTTCTTTTTATGATGCAGCTAGCGAGCGGGAGCTACAGCAGTTTACCCCGAACCGAGGAGATTTTGACGAAATCAAAACAATTGCAGAGTACGGAAAGAGGATAACGCGGAGCATGGATCGTTGGTATAATGTAGCATGCGTAGTTGGTGTATACTACGTAGTATACTGTTATTGTAGTGGCGAAGAAGTGCGGGTTGATAGGTTACGGGAGACGATGAGCCGTTGTGGATGCCGCTCTGGTCTCGCCAAATGCCTGTAACGTAAGTTTAGTCTTTCAGCTGCAGTA